AAAACTTACCTTTTTCCAGCGCTGGGCGGAGAGCTCTCCTCCTCCTCTCCGCCTCCGTTACGCCCCGCCGGCTGAATGCGCACGCGCGGCAAGAGCTGCGCGCGCATTCAGCCGGTCTCATAGGAAAGCATTTACAATGCTTTCCTATGGACGCTGGCGTGCTCTCACTGTGAAAATTACAGTGAGAAGCACGCAAGCGCCTCTAGTGGCTGTCAATGAGACAGCCACTAGAGGATTAGGGGGAAGGCTTAACCCATTCATAATTATAGCAGTTTCTCTGAAACTGCTATAATTATGAAAAAATGGGTTAACCCTAGAAGGACCTGGCACCCAGACCACTTCATTAAGCTGAAGTGGTCTGGGTGCCTAGAGTGGTCCTTTAAGCTTGTTTATCCTAAAAGACATAAGGAAACATTAAGACTACTTTTCCTTATGCATTCATTCATGTTGGCAAAACTTGACAATGGGCTGAGATCAACAAGGTGCTGTTCCAGTTGCCAATCAAATTTATCAACAAGCCACAGTAAAATTAATTCCCAGAGAATGGCAAACAGCAGACATCATGGGCAGAGGAGAACAATATGGCTGTGTCCTGATATTGAGATCCAGTACAAGGAACAGAAGATAATAAAAATAAAGACAAGGGAGGAATGTAATTATTAAAACGGAGTGGGGAGGGGCATTAGGAAAGGAAACCAAAAAACATATCAGATCTGCTTTATAGATACAAGCACTACATAGCCATAAGATTTCAAAGCAATGGAGAGGGATTTTTTTGCATTTTGGGGTGTTCTTTCTACTGCTGTTTCCCTGTATTTTAAATTGTCCGTGTGAGCTATGTATTCATTCAATGACACCATAGCTGAATACAAATGCATGTAACTGTGAATTCCTATGAATAATCTTCAGTGCTTTGAATTGTGTAGAGGTTGTGTCTAAAATACTAAAGTGATGCTAATAGATGTACGTAAAAGTGGAATAGGTTTAAACTGACCAAATATTTCTAACGCAGAAGAATTACCCTGCTTCTTTGTGATGTAGCTCTGTGTTGCATTCTTACAGTTTTGGGAGAGTATCCATCATCCTTATAGATTCCACATAAATATTACCACAAGTCTGCTTCACATTATGTTTATAATGCAGTCCCACCTGGGATGCCAGTAAATGGCAGTGGTATGCACTGTGGCAGAAATGTATTGTAGTGAAGTGTGAGGTGTTTAAAGAAACCGCACACATAATATATCATATATTATGAAGCAGAGCAATGGCTACGCTGAAAAAAGGAAAACCTTACAGAATTCCATCTAGCAGCGATATCAGATAAACAATAATGTGACATGAACACTGTCAAACATGGGGAGTCCAATAGAAAGCATTGAGTTCACAAGGCATTGGCAGTGCCTACAGGGGAAGAGTAAAAAAAACAAAGATTCTCGTTAATAATGAAAGAAGTTAGCAGAGGACACAGTTACAGTAACTCTGCAATAAGTCCAGTATGCAGTGTATCTTATAAAGGATGCTTGACTGCTGACTCCTTCGATCACCAAAGCCTGTTACCCTTCCATTCCCAATAAGTAACGCAATACCATGTTAGTGGCTAAGGGAAACAGCCACAGCTTTATTTAAACCAGGGTAACCAAATACTGTCAGCTGCTGGTTTTACCCAGCAGACAGGTACATTTTAAACTTCTTCCATAGCCTCTTCAGCCTGTCCTTCGTCATCAACCAAATTCAGGCTGCGACTCCCTAAGCCCGTCCGGGCATTATTCATTTACCAAACTTGCTGGCGCTGGAAACCCGCCACCGCAGTCCCCCACCCCTAATAGAGGGAGGAGGGATGGGTCCCCCAAAGCCAGCGCCTGTGTAATTATTGATTGTACCTATATTAAATGTATCCAAACCGACATGGGTAAGATGTACCAAATCAGTATGCATAGAATTCTGGTTATCTCCTAGTTCAACATGAGGAATCAACAATCCACCCAAGCATTGTACAATCATGATATTGACATCCACCTCACTATACCCCTTTTTGCGTTGCATGCTCTTGACTGAGGTAATTACCACCAGCGTGGATCAGCAGAATCAGCAGTATAACTTCTTCCATCATATATCGCCAAAGCGATCACTCCAGATAAAATTGCTGCCAGCGCAACCCACTGATCCCACACCACCTAATATTGACCTGGTGATGAGTAATCCCAAGATCCTGGTCATATGACCTCTGGTCCACCTGACAAGCTGCCCAATAAATATAAGAATGCTCAAGGATCCAATAATATAGAGAATATCTAGCAATAAAGAAATAAAATAAACATTAACCATAGCCAGGGACCTATAAAAGCACCTTTTAAAGGCCGAACATACAATCAAAAACCTGCTTGATTCCCAGCGACCCAGCAGCCAAATGGAAGAATCTAATAGACCTAACCTGTTTGCCTGCAGAGTCAGACCAATGCGGAATGAATGAGTTGAATAACCACTATCATCCACTCCTAAGGAGCACAATACAGTATCATCCACTCTTAACGAGCGCAACATCAACATAAACACTCTAGTGAATGGATAAGAATCCATTTGCATACACTGGAACGAATGTCCAAATAATGGTCGCTCCAATCCTAATCACTCTACCACTACCCGTTTGATCAGTATTAGATTGCCAAATAGAAATTCCACTTCTTTTTTACACTAAAGAACATCCTTCCTAAAAAGGGATGACTGAGCTCTAGAGCTCCACCATAGAGTTGCATAAAAACACACAGAAAAGGCCACCCAAAACAGAATTGCCTCCAATGGGGAAACTTAAATAGCAGGCAGGATCCCACCTATGTCTCTCAGCAAGTGCACAAATACAGGATGCCTAACGACCACCATCAGTTTACATCTCCAATACGTCTCCATCAGTTTACCTCTCCAGTGCTCCCGCTGAACCACAAATGCTTTAGTCACATCTTCCCATCACATGAAGTGCATTAAGATTGAAAGAGTTGATATACCCTGTTCCACTGACACGGATGTCATTCAATGCCGCAAGGCAGAAAGAAAGGCTGAGTGGATAACAACCTACTTTCTGAAGAAGACCAGCCAAATTGATCCCACACTGTCAGGTATGCTGACCAAGATTTAGGAGACAGGGACCTCTCAATCAAGTCAGTCAACTTCCGAAACTGAGGTTCCAGAAACATTCAGGGCCCTCCACAAGCCTCTGCCTCTGGAGTCACCTCCCAAAATTTATCCTACTGGAAGCAAGAAAGAGAGTCAGCAATACATTAGACACACCTGGCACCTGCACCCAAACCAAATATTAAATTCCAAGCAATGCAGAACCAACTGTCGCAATAAGGCCCATCCTGGAAAAGAATCCAAATATAACTGGTTAATGACATGATCCACACTAAGGTTATCTGTACAGAAAAGAACCTGCTTCTTTGCCAAAGTCGAGACCCAGAGCTTTAACAACACTACAATCGGGAATAGCCCCAAAAAGGAATCGGACCGCATCCATGGCCATCATAGCCCTCAGAAAAAAGCACCAAAACCAACCGAGCCACAGCCTCTGTGAACAGCTTAAAGGTCAGATCAGACACTGTTTAATAGCGCCAAAATGTCTGACCATTGTAACCCACGAGGAACAAAACTCCAAACTCCCAAAAGGCGAGTAAAGTTAAAAGGTAGGTGAATAGCAACCACAGCCAAGGAAAGTCAGTGACTGAAAGCACGCCCCATCGGCATGACTTACAGCAAAAATTCAAATGGCCCAATGGGATTGCAGAATTCAAATAGCCCAAAAGGGAGCCCCTTGAACCTGATCCACTAGAGATACCAACCTGAAGCTTGGTCTCTGGCAAGTAAAACTGTATCTAAATCCCCAGGATAAAATAATCGTACCAGGGCCCTCCGTTTTCTCCTCAGCCTCTGGAACCCCAAAATCCTCCATGACCCTATGAAAGTGGAACAACAAGTCCGTAAAAACCTGACAACCCGACTAGTGCAGAAGAGATGGACAAACCGGTACACTGTGAGGAATTAGCCAGACCGACAACAAGAAGTCGTTGAGATAATGAAAGAGGGAAGAACAGCCCGACACCAGCGCCACGATCCATTCCAACAAGGAACTGAAACCTTAAAATCGAACAACCCATGAGAAGGCACATGAAATATCACCCTGAAACTGACACCCGAACAAATGAAAACAATCTGGGTGAATTGGCAGCAACCAATTATCGGACGTCGCCAACAGAGCCCCGGCTCCTGCTTCGCGAACCAAGTCCAAAGCCTGATCAAAATAAGTGTATCTCACCCGACAGTCCTCCTTTGAAATACCATTGTGAACTGAGGCCCCAGACGGGTAAGACAGATTTCCACCATATGCCCCAGTTCCACATCCTTTCCTAGCTCGGCTGCCAGGACCCCCTCCTTACCCCGAACCAAGGACACGTTAGGCGCAACTACACCTACCCCAACGGAGTAAACGGGAACTCCTTGGATAGAGTGCAAGCCACGGCACCAGTCTTTCCACCCTCACTGGTGTCATCTCCCCGAGGAACGTCATCCTTAGACGCGGACCTCGGGAGTGGTTTTCACCTCTTATAACAACGGATAGCTGGAAGTGCCGGCGGTTGCCGTCTTGCACACCTAAATCCAGGTTTGGCCTAACTTCCATTTTATTATTTTTTTTCTAAACTGCTGGTTGTATATAAACCAGCATTGCCCCCATACACCTTATAAGCCCCCCAAATCAAGCCCAATAAAAAAACTGCGTCGGGGCCTTTTCCGGAAACCTAGCTGATAGGATGCTAGCATAGGTAGCAAATCCTTGCAACCAATTCCCAAAAGGTATGGGGGAGCTGCTTACCTTTTTTGCCCTCAGCCAAGTCACACCGACGCGGTCTATCCGCTGACTCCTTGTCAAATGGCACCAAGAAGAGTAGGTCCACATACTCACCTTAAGTATCTTTTCTCTTACCCCAAAAGACACATGTTACCCCAGGCGAGCAATGTCACAGACAGGTCTCCCTGAAGTATATACCTCACCTGTACCTGAAGGGGGAGCCCCAGAGGGAAGCGCTGAGCCCTGGGCGATGCCCGTTGCCCCAATGGTCCCTGCAGGCGTCAACCGGCCAAACGCTAAATGCAGCAATTGAATCAATTCTCCTTGACCATCCCCCACTAGCCCTGAGTCCCCCTAACTCCTGCCAAGAGCGAGTGCACTCCAACTCATGGTTCAGGAGAAGGGGGTCTCTCTATCCCAGGCTCCAATTACGGTCCTACTTGCTGTGAGGGTGCTGCAGTCCACCTGACTGCTGTTCCGCCAGGAGAGCGGAGTTCCAGTCCTACCATGTGGTGGGGAATCCTGCGTCCCTCCCTGGTGCTCCAGCCCAGAAGCCGGCAAAATCCTCCACCGGCCCGTCGTGGTGGGGCCAGTGGTGCTCCTCCCCTGATTCCCCAGTCCAAGGCACTCTGGGACTTCCGGGTTCAGCCGGGGCCTGTGACGTCTGCGTTCAGGGCCATGCAGAGGTCACATACGTGCTACCCGAGTTCCTGCGAGCGGCAGTCCGACTGCAGGACCTCACCTCGCCTCCGGAGCCATCTTGGGGACCGCCATCTTGACACCTCGACTTCCGCAGCACCTGCTGCCATTCCTCCGCCTCGCAATGCCCACATCCTGCTGCATGGAGCCAGCCTCACTCGGCCCTGGACCCTCTGGCGATACTCCGACCCTGGACTAGGGGACAGTCTGGAACGGCGGGCCTGATGTCCACTCCTGGTCTGCACCTCCTTCACTGGCCCCTCCTGAACAGCCTGCTTGCCCTGGACACTGTGGAGCAGTGAGTTGAAAAATTCAGCCCATGGGTCCTCTGGAAGGCCTGCAATAGGGTAAGCCTAGAGCAGGGGTGTGGGCCATTCTGTACTCTATCAGTAGAAGGTAAAAGTAACTTCTGTCTTTTTTTTTTTTTTTTTAGGGAGAAACAGCACTGCCAGGTTCCCTCAGGGAGGAAACTCAATTTAATAAAGTAATTTTTTTTTTTTTTTATTTGACAATTTTTATTAGTATTTTGTCATAAACCCGACATTAGTCGGAGGGGAAGGGGAGGGTACAGAAGAGAAAAAGGGGGAGCAGCAGCAAAGTATTGTAATTGTCATATAGTATATTGCATAGTCATACAGTACAAAACAGTTAGCCGAGACAGGGTGGGTATGGGTATTCAATATGCGCTTGTACCCTCTAAGGTCCGGGGTCGGCTCGACCCATATTCTAAACACAGCTCTACAGTTTGCTTCCTTTGGGATTAACCCAGGCGACCCGATCTCCATGTGTCCCAGATCTCCCACGCCTTTGCGGAGGTATGGGATGGGGGCCACAATTTGGTGTATGCTCCTTCATATGCTCTTTGTTCTATCAGAGCGGCTAGTACTCTGGCGAAGGGCGGGCATTGTTTAGATTTCCATGATCTTGCGATCTCTCTGTGTGCTGAGAGGAGAACGTGATATATAAGTTTCCTCTCGGCTCTAGGGGTTCCGCTCGGGAGAATTAGTGTTATATAGACTTGGGGCGTAAATTGCATAGTGATGCCAGTCAAGTCTTGCAGGAGCGTATGGACTTCCGTCCAGAACGGTTTAAGATCTGGGCACTGCCACCAAATATGGAGGACATCTCCTCTTGCTATTCCACATCTCCAGCAGTTGGGAGAGCTATTTGGGTAGAATTTATGAATCCGAGTAGGTACCATGTACCATCTATAAACACCCTTGCGTTGTTGCTCCACTAGGGAAGTGGATGTGAGTAGCTGGTTTATGTCTTGGAATAAGATATTCCATTGTGAGGGGGAGATAGGCTCTCCCAGATCTATATTCCATTGTTGTGCTACATTGGTAGCAGGGAATGGCATAGAGTTAGCGATGAGTCGGTAACACATGGAGGTCGGTTTACATGCGAGTGGTAATGACCCGTTTATACATACTGGTTCCCACACCGTGGGTTGTCCCTTATCGGATTGCAATACCCTGTCAGCACTAGTTGACCTGTAGAGGAACGATCTCAGTTGTATGTATGAGAATTGTGAGGTTACAGGAAGTTTATGTGTGTGTCTCAGTGTGGAGAAGTCCTTTAATGTCCCGTGTTGGAGAATATGATAGAGGTGTGTTAGTTTGTTGTCTAGCCAAGGGTTGGCATGGAAGGTCGGTATACAATACGGGAGGGCCGCCACTGGTGTAGCTGGTGAAAGTTTAGTTGGGGAACAGAGTGTTGCCCTACTTTTGTCCCATATTTGTAGCTTGAGGGCGAGGAGGTCGGATGGATGTGGTAGGGTCGGGCGGTATACCTTTGGTATCCACAATATGTTAGGTAGTGTGAAGGGCTTCAGCAGGTTTCTCTCTATCTCCACCCACTGAGGGGGCTTTTTATCCATATGATGGGGAAGTAAGGTGGCTAGTATGGATGCATGGTAGTAGGCCTTCACATCAGGTAGTCCCAGTCCACCCAACTTTTTAGGAGCATGTAAAAGATTCCTGGCTACCCTCGGTCTAGACCCAGCCCAAATAAAGTTGTCTACCTCCTTTTGTACCAGTTTGAAAAAGGAGTGTGGGACGGGTATCGGGAGCGTTCTAAAAATATATTGCAGTTTAGGAAGTATCGACATCTTTACTGCCACTATTCTTTCCGTCCATGTTAGATAGAGAGGTGACCATCTTTTTAGTTGTAGGGCACATTCTCTCCACGTTCTAACATGGTTGCCCGTGTAGAGCTCTGTGTGTTTTTTAGAGAACAATAGTCCCAGGTATGTAATGTCATATTTCCTCCAATCAAAGGGGTACGACCCTCTGAGGCCTATCATTTCACTTTCAGGAACGCCTATGCTAAGTGCTTGGGTTTTGGAGGTATTAAGAGAATAGTAGGATTGTGTTCCATAGTCGTAAATGAGGGACATGACATGGGGCAGAGAGTCCATTGGTTGGGTCATATAGAGAAGGATGTCATCTGCGAAGGCACTTATCCTAACTTCTCTAGATCCGACCAGAATTCCAGTAATATTGGGGTGGGATCTAATTACGACCAGAAGTGGTTCCAGGGCTAAAACATATAACAGTGGGGACAGTGGGCATCCCTGTCTGGTCCCGTTAGATAGTTCGAAAGGGTCCGATAGGAACCCGGCTTGCAGAACTCTAGCTTTCGGAGCCGAGTATAGTGCAAAAATTTGCGTGATGGTCTGGTGGGGGAAACCGTATTTCACTAGAACTTGTCTCAAGAAGGCCCAGCCAAGGTGGTCAAATGCCTTCTCCGTGTCCAAGGCTAAAAGCAGACCGCCTCGGCCAGGCCTCCGGAGCTGCTCTAGGGTGTGCATCAGTTTGTATGTATTGTCCGAGCCCTGTCTCCCTCTGACGAACCCTGTTTGATCATCACAAATCAATTCTGGCAGAAGTCCGCTCAGCCTGTTTGCTATAATTTTAGCGTAGAGTTTGGCATCTGTATTGAGGAGGGAGATCGGGCGAAAGTTTTTACATTCATTTGCCGGTTTGCCAGGTTTTGGAATAGTGATAATTGTGGCCATAAGCATCTCCGGAGGGAGGGAGCCCGTTGCGGAGGCTTGTTGGTACACCCTCAACAGGTGGGGCGCCAATGTGTCTGCAAATTTCTTATAGTAGGCATTAGTGAAACCATCAGCTCCCGGGGATTTAGCCAGAGGCAGAGATTTGATAGCTGCGCTAACTTCTGCCAAGGTTATGGGTTGTTGGAGCGTTATAGCTTGTTCTAGTGTGACTCGTGGCAAATGTATCTGGCTAAGATATTTGGAGATGCTGTCTTCCGTTGGGTTATTTATACCTGTCGTGAGGTGTAGGTTATATAGTTTGGCATAAAATCTTGCAAAGGCTTGCGATATGTCGCTGGGATTTAGTATTTTCTGACCCCTATCATTTATAAGATGTGCGATCTTTTGTGTGTTGCATTTGTTTCATAATCTCGCTGCTAACAATTTAGTGGCTTTACCGCTATGGTGGTAGGCGGTAGCTTTTAATTTATGAAGCAGCCTCCTAGTTTTGTCTGCCGTCAAGTCTCTTAGTTTGTCATACTGCAGGGTGAGTTGTATCCCTGTTTCTACTGTGGGCTGGGTCTTATTTAAAGCAGAAAGTTGCGCTATTTTAGTGTGGCATTCCAACATTGCCGAGTCCTGGGTTCTTTTAATGTGCGAAGCTTGTTTAAGAAACAGGCCTCTAAGTACTGCCTTATGTGCGGACCAGACCGTGGCTGCCGTGGTCTCTTGAACATTGTTTAGGTTAAAATAGGTTATAAGCTCCTCTTTAATGTTAGCGGTGAATTTCTCATCGTTCAATAGGGAGTCATTTAACCTCCAAGTGCCTTTCCCTGTGAACTGGAATTCATCTTTCAGTACCAGGGTGACCGGGCTGTGGTCTGACCACGTAATCTCCCCAATCCTGCAATCTGCTACAAGGGGCAAGGTAACTCTATCAACAAAAAAACCATCAATTCGAGAGTACGAATTGTGTACCCTCGAATAAAAAGTATAATCTCTCGTTTCAGGGCTAAGAGTTCTCCATACATCATAGAGGTCATGTAATGAGAGTGTTTTGTTGATGTTTTTGTGGGTCTTATCGTGCGACAATCTAGTATTGGTGCCTCTTTGAGTTGATCTATCCAGGGGTGATTGAGTGAAGTTAAAGTCGCCACATAATAATAAATTGCCTAGGCGATATTGGTCTATTTTCGTTAGCAGGGACTTTTGGTATTGGTTGGAGTTCTCATTGGGGAAGTATGCCGTGACCAGTGTGTAGTGGGTTGCGTTAATGAGACACTGTAGGATTATGAATCTACCTTGGGGATCTATGTACTGCCTCTGGCTGGTGAATGCGATATCTTTGTGTATTAGGATAGATACACCCTTTGTTTTGTTTACTGAGAGTGCATGGTATTGTGTCGGGAAGTGTTTAGTAAAGATCTTTGGTGTATAGCCTTTCTTAAAGTGGGTCTCTTGAATACATGCAATGTCAATCTTAGATTTTATCAATTCTTTATACAGTAAACACCTTTTCCCAGGGGTATTCAACCCCTTCACATTATACGTTACTACTCTTATGATAATTGGGGATCAGTTTTGCTATGACATCTGGTGCGTGGAGGTGAACCGGTGTTAGCGTAACAACAGCATCTTTTCCTATGTTGCAGCTATAACCATCTAGCAAATATAACCCAAACCTAACTACACGATCATTCCTGCTAAGTCGTACTGTACTGCTTATACGGGATATTGCGTCTTGTATTATATTACTGGCTGCTAAGGAAAACCTGGATAGGTCGGGGAAAGAGGGAACTAGGGAGAGAATAAACTGGAGTGGGGTAGGGGGAATAAACCCTGATTAAGCTCTACACAAGAGAGCTGGAGCACGCCAAGCTGATCTTGGCTGCAATGTAGGGGGTACATTAAGTGAGCCTGGTGTTGTCGTGGCTCACATGTGGCTCTTAGGGCTTTGAGTGGCTTAAAGAGATAGTATGCTGAGGCTTTCTCGTGCCGCAGGCATTTTTTTTTTTTTTACTTGTAATACACTAAAAAGTAAGAACATAACCTTTTGTAACATTTGGCAATCAACAGTTCATAGGTCCTAGTGACTGCGCTGTGGGCCGCAGTAAGTGTTAGGCATACTTAACACTCTCTCCGCGGGAGAAGAGGCAGGCCTCGCAGAGTGTTCCTGTTCAGGCCGGGGTCCACTCAGGGGACATCCGAGGTATCTTTGCCTGGTTAT